ATCATATGATGGACGAAAGCTCAGCACGTTTTTACCCGAAACGAGGGAGGAATACTCGTCGACTGCGCAACATGAATATAATGTAAAAGCTAAAAGGCTGCAGTACAACGATTGTCATCCGTCCTCATCTGGTGAGAACGACAAACGAATCTCTTCATCATGTACTTTCATTCGAAATGAAGGTTTAACAATATTCTATTATAAAATATGAGTCAGGAGAGGCCTCGCTTGCCTTGAATTTCACAACTTTCTTGCACTAACAATGTTATCTCAGGAGATTCATCGAAACCAAGTTTCTCTTCGTATCTACAAGCATTTTAAAGTTTGAAAGGAATAGTTGCGGCTTAACTTCCTCTCTCTTTCCTGCAATTTTCTTAACTCATTAGCGTGAATTTTGTCGTCACGATGATACCTTGTTCTGATGCTGTTCGTCACATGACGCACGAAAGCTGAGCACCTGTTCGCCGGAATCGAACGAGATGATACTTCGGAGACAGCATCAGCATGAATGTGCCAGAAATCGGCCGTCGTCTTCTGGTGGAACCGAGCTTCGAATCTCTTCACTGCCCTCTTTCACTCGAAATGGAAGTCAGTTCAACAATTGGGAAAGAAAAGATTCCTCAAAACTCAACTTTTCTTTGCATATTGACGTATTGTCTTCGACGAAAGGAAGAAAAAGGCGTATTCCGAGCATGAAACCGACGAGAAGTGATTCGAGGAGGGGGCTTGCATACCAAAATTGTTGATATTATTTCTGGAACACGGGGCTCTTGCCTCGTCACATCGTCTCATACTCACTTCAAAAGGGATTCGAAACTGGCTAGTACGAAAGCGTGTATTTAGGAGGCGTATTCACCATGCCTCGTTGAGGCGATGAAGGACTGTTAGTGAAATTTTCCCACAATCTGATGAGGAGACCTTACGTTTCCATTCAATGTCACGAAAGCTTGCTTTCACTCTCGACTCGTTAACCACCTACCACAGAATGCGATATGTGAAAATGCCCGGCGTTGCTTGAAATTCACGTTTTCTCTCTGGCAACAGGGCACTCGTGGCAGTCGGGTGAAGTGATGAACCCTGTCATGGTTCGAGTCCCGCTGGCGAGATCGAAACTGAATTCCAGTCCAACTTGGATGAAAACACATTTTGGGAAATTAAAATGGAAATGAGAAAATGCAAGTACCAATCCTTCATCACCTCAAAAATATATCTGATCAACTGGTCGTCTGGAAAAGCTAGTTATCAATAAAAAAACATGTATTTGCCATTGAAATCGAGGGCACTACTCATTTTGTGTGCGAGTAGTCGTCGAAAATATGAGCAATTCTTAGTCGATTCTATCAGTCATCATACCATCTGCTCATTTCCTTGTGGGAAAAGCCCCAGCATCAATCATCAAATAATGTCAAACCGGCTAGACAGGCCAGTCATGTTGTAGCCGGTAACATCATCAATTGTAATTAATGGGAAGGAAAAGTTTGTCTATTGTGGCGCCACTCTGTTTCAAATCATATGACTTTAATCTTAACTGAATACAAAGTAGCTTGGTTTACAATGCTAAGGTGCTTGTGCAAAATTGGAAATGTAGAATGGCGCGAAAAATGTAGAAATTATTCAAAGCTAGGAAAGCTAAACGTGTAAAGCATGCTGCAAAATGATTAAGATAAAAAGGTATAGAAAGAAAAGCGATACTTGTAGTTATTAATATATTAATTAGTTAATGAAAAAGTTAAAATAAAATATGTCTCAATTATTTTTAAAAAAATATTAAATATTCAATAAGTAAAGTACTTAATAAATACATGCATATATAAATTTATTATTTCAAATATTACTGAAATGGTTATTAGATAGCTAAACAAATATATGATTAAAATGTTAATTAATAAAGTAACAAGCTAATAAATTGATGAATGAACAACATTAGAAAATTTACAAATTAATAATATAAGGGGCTAGTAAATTAATAAGTTAATAAAATGATTGATGAAGAAATATTTTGATAAATTAATAAGTATATGCATTAATAAGTCAAATATAAATAAATTAATGGATACAACAAAATATATTAATAAGGGATTAAGTACTTTAAAAAAGTGACTCGATCAATTATGACTATATTATTAAATAAGCGAATAAATAAATTATTTTCCCGATAATTAAAAAAAAATTAATAGATTAACAACTTTATAAATTAAATGTTAATTAACTAGACTAATTAATTCAGTAATTGATCAATATATAAAAATATCTCATTTCAGCATTTCAATAATAATGTAATATATTACTTAAATGCTGAATAGATAATTTGGTTAACAACTCTGCAAGTACTATATTACTGAATTCACTATAAAATAACTTGATGCAATTTTTACCAATCTTACAATTAACAATCTAGTTACAATCTATTTTTTTAATATTAAATAAATTACTAAACAAATTCACACAATTTTAATTAGTATGGACAAGCTCAGCTCTTCCTCAGCCCTCATTCTACCGCCTTTTATGTAAATGAGTGCAACATTTTTTGTAGTTGTGTACGCTGGAAGGTACAGTCTTGCTTGGTCGCGAGCACATTTTGGAAGACTTGAGGACCGAGTGAAAGTTACTGGAATCGTAAGTACTTGGTCTCTTTTCTTTACGGCGGCTAAACTATTAGAAATTCTTTTGATTTCAGCCAACCGAGATTTGTGAAGCATCGAAACTTCATCATTCGATTTACAGAATTAAGCCTCAATGGGCCGTTTTTATGCCTGGCGTTGTCAAGTCTGGGTATTCGCTGTAGGGAAGTTGTATCACTTGATGATGACAACTTTATATTTTCAAGGGACTTGTGGACAAATTCGGTTGCCAGCCTGCGAAAGTGATGGTTCACGCATTTATGCATGAAGCAGGTCACCTCTTCTGGCCACGGCAGTTTGCCAAAATGCCGCATCAAAGTTGTCTCAAAATGGCTGCAATATGTTATGCAAACAATGACAGACAGACAGACAGACAAACAGATCCACTTACGGGATTAACAGTGCCTTGTTCCGGATCAACTGGTTCTCGGTTTCGACAAGATGGGGTCGGTTTCGCAGAGATGGGATGCCGAGCACCGAATCGGCCGGCCACTTGTTGCCAACTAGTCTGTGCCTCCGACCGCCGAGTGTCAGTCTGTCTGACTGTCTGTCTCAACTGGCATTGTCCGCTTGTCCGGCCTTCAAAATGCACCGTCGCTGTAGTGATTGGCGCCAGCTGGCTCGGATACAATGAGGCTGTATCGGCTGTGTACGGCTGGTTTGTGTCATTCTGGCCCAAGTAGAACTGCGAGTTGCCAGGCGACCAGCTGGGCGTCGTCCAGCCGGAAGGGTTGATGTTGCGCGGCTCGAGCGGATAGTTGGGCCTTGCAGGCTCGGCGGTGACCTGGGCCTGGGCGACAAGACACGGAAACTGTGAAGACAGAAATCCTATCGGCGGCAGAGCAAGACGACTTCCAGACAGCGGCGGCGGCGGCGGCGGTGGCAGAGGCGAATGACGATCCGCTTCCGCCGGCAGGTTGATCGGCATGACCGCTGCGGAGCCGTTGGTGGTGGACCAGGTGGAGGTGAGACTAAGCAGACTAGGAAACTAAGACGTCACGACGTAGCCGAGGATATGAATCAAAGTCAAAGCAGCATGGGTATTTCCATTATTACTCTTTAATGCCATATTAATTATGATTTATTATAATTGTCAGTTATTTTGTTGTTATTATTGCAAATAATAATAATATATTATCAGAGTTTGACTCTTTTTCACGATTTACTAATAATGCAACAAAGCTACTTTATCTACATATAAGTAGTGTAGTGAGTATAATAGAAAAAAAAGGGATATTGCGGAATTTGGGATTTAATTTATGCTGAAATCCTGGTGCACTGGTGGCAGTGTAGCAGCTGCACTAAAACAACTCGTGTTCGATCCCGGTCGAGGGATTCCTTTCGGGAAGAAAGGAAACGTCAATTACCAAGCCCCGATCACGCTTAACGAAACAGGAAAAATACATTTCATATGCAAGCCTGAAATGAGGAAAAGCCAAGAGAAATAGCCTCGATTTCATTGTTAAGTAAGAGTTGATTTAAAATGGAAATTTCCCCTCTTCTCAACTCAACAGTTGGGCTGACAATCAGAAGAAGATTGGCAGCGAAAAGATATCGCCGACTATAGCGCTTTTGAGCTCACCGTTTGATCAAACGTCGTCTGCTTCGAGTCGTTGGTGTACGAAGAATAGATGATCTCTTCTCCATCCTCGTGAGTCTGCCGGTCGGCATTTGGCCGAACCGGAGCACACGGACTCATCTGCCCGCCGCCGTTGGCATCGCCAGTTGGTTTCGTTTCTGCCGGCCTGTACCCTCCGACTTGTCGGGCGTCGTCTTCCGTTCTGCCGACGTAGGCGACGCAGACTCCGTCGCACCGCGGCCACTCAAAGTCCATCTGAGGCAACACATTTGCTCCTAGCAACCGCGCATCTGGCTCCAATGCACAGCTCTGGGACGGTTGCAACTCGGCGACACAACTCGTCACTCCTGTCTCGTCACTCCTGCCAGTCCTCCTCCAGTTGTCGGAGTGTGTCTTCTGACAAAAAGACTCTTCAAAGGCACCAGCTTCTGCCAGTCGCAGACGAGACGACAACCACGTGAATTGCCTCAACGGTTGCCAGTCGACGGCATCTGCCGAATGACACGCCTCGTCATCAGCCGCTACCACAAACGACTCTTCTCCTTTTGCTACACGCTCCAACATCGCGTTTATCTTCCTTTCTTCCCTCGTCTCGCACTTTACAAACCTACACTGACCGTCATCTCGAGACTCCTCTTTACTCTCCTCCACCTCCACCTCTTCTTCATCCTCCTCCTCCATCTCCATCTCCATCTCCATCTCTACCTCCACCTCCACATCCACCTTGGCTTCCGCTTTCGCTTCCGCTTCCGCTTCTGGCTCCGCATCTGCGCCTGCTCCTGTACCCGGCTCCGGCTTCTCCCCGTCCTCGCCCTCGCCCTCGCCCTCGCCGTCATCGCCGTCATCGCCTTCATCGCCGTCGCCCTCGTTGTCCTCCTCTTCATCCTCCTCCTCTTCTTCTTCTTCATTCTCTCGCCTCGTCTGAACGTCTCTGCGAACACCGTCGCAAGGGCTGTTGGTATCAGATTTGATGTTGACCTGCGAACCGGGCCGAATGCGGGCGTACTGTTTCAGCAACAAATAAAGCTCATTGAACCCACGAAGCCTGGCTTCGTCCAGTGGACCTCGATCTGTATAGTCGACAGTATTCACGCTAACGGGATGCTCAAGCAAAGCGCAGACAGCCTGTTAAAAGTTATAAACACACAGATTGTATTACTTGTAAAATTTATAAGTAGTAAGTAGATTAGATATAAATTTAGTCGAGGCCGAAAAAAATTTCATCTTTTTTCGTTAATAAGACGGTTGTCGTGACTACCAGTAATTCAATTGTCAAACGAAAAATGGTGAATATACCTCGCATATTTATGATATTCTGGTAGTCTTGAGAGGCTACTTACAAACTGAAAATAAGTAACGTATCCGTAGCAATTGGTCCAAGGAAGGATAAATGCGTTTTTTCTCCTGTAGTTTCCCGGCAAGGATTTCAAGTGAAAAAATGCTCTCAATTCTTACAGCAGCTGACTCTTCTTATGGCCCAGAATAAGGCTCTAAGAACTGATGAAGTCGGTCTGCTTTGTTCACCTCAATTTTGAGAAGAATTCCGTCAGAAAAGCTCTCGTACTGAAGAGTCAAGATAAAAATTCCATTCCGGGCTCGTGGGTTGTTAAGGGCTGTTATGACTTTAGTTTTGGGCGATGCCAGTTGAGAGAAGATTATTTTTACTTTTAGTATGCTTTTCGCCTAATTTATAAGCACAAATTGGAAATATTTGATTGTACTACATCTTACATCATGCTACTTGATATACTATTTACTCTTCCATACAGTATGAAACTGTACATACTTTTATAGTCATCTTTATCGCATATCGGATGCACTTTTAAAGCGTACCTGATGTCTACTGCCTCAAACAACGTTTTACTTTGATATTTTCTAGATTATGGTTTTTGATGTCATCAAGTGTATAGCATGATTAAGCATGCTTTGCTTTGCTTTTTCCTTCGTTGTATAATCAAATTTTAGACGCTTCAAGTAGAGCATATAAATGAGATATATTCAACTTTTATGCTCAAAGTTAAAGAGGAAAAGCTACTTATAAACAACAAATAAGTAGTATAATCGATTGCTATAGCAAGTACATCTTTGCTTCTTCGACAATTGCACCAGCCGAGATGAGACTAGCTTTTGGGGAATGCTCATTTCGGATTGGCAAAATTCAGTTGCCAGGCCCATTATTAGCATACACGAAATATTGTGATTAAATTTCTTACTACTGATAACATGTTATCGTTTTTTTGAGAGTTCAACTAACGTTTCGATGAGACAATGACTGTGGCAGATGGAAGCTGTCTTGCTCAACATCACATCACCTTTTTTATAATTGAATTGTGGAGATTGGCGAAGATCACATGTACTT